GTGTTGAGCTCCGGGGCACGGACTCAGCGCAGCCCTCACGCACATGGCTTGGCCCGATGGTGTCCGGCTTTGGGTCTGGAGCCGGGCCACCCCCAGGCCACCCCCTCGTGTCTTCAGCACAGACTGGGACAGGCGGGAGGTCAGAGTGTGGTGGCCTCGGATTGATCAGAAGCCTTGATGCTGGTCTAAGATGCTTTCCTCAAGGACAGTCTACAAAACCGGAGTCCTCATTTCTGCGAAGAAAGCAGAGTAATTCAGTTCACATTCCCTGAAGAGTTCTCTATCCTGTGTGTTTTCAGTGCTTGGGTAGTGTCTGTGGTTGGTCTTCAAGGTCGTTTTTCCAGGCTGGAGGTCAGCAGTGGCTATAGAGTGAAATGCCTGGGAAGGGGTGAACGTGGACGCCAGGGCCGTGCAGGTCGCCGTCCCTTGGGAAGAAAGTCAGCAGGGGCGGTGCAGGCTGCTTAGAGCACAGTGCGTTTGTGCCGGCAGCAGCCTCGGGTCCGTGCCGTCCGCCCGCTGCTGCGAGCAGGCTCAGGCCCAGCGTGGATTTCCCAAACGAGAACAGACAGCCTTCCGTGGCAGCCGCAGTGAGCGGTGGGAGGCGCCCAGGAGCAGCTGGGGGTAGATGAGGAACCACCTGCCACCCATGGCTTCAGCCCAGTTCGGCCAGCATCCTCTCTGCAGTTCGGAGCTCTGTCACCCACCTTCTTGGGGGACAGCCGATATAGAGGTCTCCCCTTGATTCCACTCTGTGCCACCTTAACCACAGGAGGGCACCGGACCTGGGGTGTCCCGGAGACACCGGACCTGGGGTGTCAAGGCTTGCTGTGGTTTCTCAGTGGTTATCTTGGTCCCGCAGCCATAACATGGGAAATATTAATGACCTAATACTAATTTTCGAAGCCAGCCTGCAGAATTACAGTTGCAGCATGGCCTCAGTGAAATGAATCATGTCCACTGAAGGGAAATTGCAGCATCTTGTTAGCTGTGTGGGTGACAGGAACATAGGCCATTTTGTTCTTTTGTGTTTTCTCAGTCTTATGTTACCACATATTAATTTTATAATGAGGTGTTTTTCTACTGAATAAAGCTGCACGAGCCTGCAGGGAAAAGGGAGGTAAAGGTAAGCCAGTGGTGCAGCTGGTGACCGGAAGGCAGGCCAGAGGCAGGTCTGGCTCCGGTAAGCAGGGTAGTGCGTGGTCCTCGGCGGCCGTAAGCCAGTCATGGCCCAGAGGAGCAGGCTTTCCCTAACATCCTCAATCAACCAGAGGATGGTTATAGACTCTGCACATCTGACCAGTGAGCCCGAGATTAGGTCGTGGTCATGAATCCGGCCACGGGCCCAGCTTCAGCATAAAGTCACCCATGATCTTTACCAGGTGGTCCAGGGCACCGGTTTTGCTATAAGGTAGTAAATGTTTGCTTCGGTGTAATTGTATCAATGAAGAGTGACGTGTACCTCGATTTACACAAACCTGCCGTGCTCCCAGGGCGTAGAAATACTGACATTTCCAGCCCTGCTTGCGTAAGTGGATCCAGTCCACAAATAATGGTGCCGGAGTAGCTTGCGGTGTGAGTTGCTGATACAGACACACGGGCTGTGGTTTTGAGTTCAGCTCCGTCCCTCCCACAATCCAGGTGAGCCTGGCAGAGGGTACCGTGTCAGAGAGGTGCTAGTTTAGAGAGACCCGCCCCACCCCAGCAGAAGCAGCCCGGGGGAAGACACGTGTTTGTGCCTTCTGGAAAAGTGGGGTGGATGTGGTTGGCTCTCTACTGACGAGGGCTAGTAAGGCAGAGGTGAGCGCTTTGTTTCCAGGAAGGGTTAATATCTTTTAGTTAAGAATGGAGCCAAGGACAGCCATTGTCAGCCCCTGCCAGCCAGCTTCTCGGGGAAGTGCTCGAGGAGGCTGGCCATCAGCATGCCGACGGCGTCTGGCCACTGCCAGGCCTCACCTGACCCAGACAGCGCCGGTGAAACATTTCGCTCCAGCAGAGAGCAAATTGATTGTGGCTAATCAGATAAGGTGGGAGTGATTGGCAAGTGGAGACAGGGGACTGAGAGATTGGAGACGGCCCCTGCTTCCTGGCTCAGGGCGGCATCCCTGCCCTTTGCTGCTGGTGCTCGGGCTCCCAGGGCTGTGCGTGCTCAGAGGGCACAAGCAGGAGATGGCTGGAGCGTCCCCGTTGTTGGGGATCAGGGCGGGAGAGGCTTAGGCTCCTGGCCCCGTGCATGTTCAGAGTGTACGCTCACAGGAGCCCACAAGTGTCCCTGGCATTGGGGTTTTGCAAGATTTGTCTTAACTCATGGTGGAAATTCACACCTTTAGAAACTTCAGATTGCATCATTGCATATCTTAGGACACGGACTTGGGAATGTGAGCCGTTCCCTCAGCAGCTGCAACGTAGCATGAAATCTGATGCAGCAGAAGTGAGCCACAAGCCCACAGGAGTTAGCAAACGAGCCAGCCCCGACTCATGCATGATAACCCAGCAGAAAGCGGGCCTCGGCGGAATGGGGGGGTCTGGAATCCTGCATTCCTAGCTGGTGTATCTTGGCATTGTGTGGTCTCTCCTGTGATCTGCATGGGAAGAAGAGAACATTCTTTCAAGGTGTGAAGCCCCGAAGGACACTGGCTGTCCTTAGGCAGTGGTTGGGAGGGGCTGGAGTCAGGCCGACCGGAACGCTTTCCAGGGGCAACTCTGGCTCCTCCTGGCGGAGTGACTGGCGTTCGTAAGCCCCGAGCTCCTCACCTGTGGGTGGGGGTGTCACCAGCTGCCCCGGGGCTGTGTGCAGGTTCGATCGGGGTGTGAACAAGCGACTTGGCGTGGTGCCCGGCCCGTGCGAGTGTCTGATATTCCTTGAGCGGCTTGAAGCGGTTCCAAGAAACCTCTTTTCCCTTTGGGGGGCCTCTTGTCTAAAAGTTCCCTGGGAGATGGTGGTGAGGACGGGTAGGTCCCAGGACTGTCCAGGGAAACCTGAGCGCCTCTAGGGCAGACGTGCTCTCGCTTTAGTCTGGACTCGAGTAGGTTGTTAGTCTTTGGGTCCTTGAATTAGGGCCAGCCACCAGTTGTCTGTACACAGGACGCTTCGTGCATAAAACCCATTGCCCAAAACTACCCCATGCCACCTGCAGCCCGTGACAGCCCACCAAAGCGAGAAGTACGAGGCTCCTTCCCCAGAGCTTTCCCACAAACTGTGGTCCCCAGGCCATCATCGGTCCCCAGAGTGTCACCTGAAGCTCACCAAAGTGCAGGGTTTGGGGTCACACCATAAGCATACAAATCAGAACCTGAAGTTTAAAATACCAGATGCCAAGGTCATGTGTATGCTCCAGGGTCCATGAACTTAGAGGATTTCTGGAGGAGTGTAAATGGGGTGCACCTTGTGGACCAGGCCGGTGCATCCTGCCTTGCTCGTTGTGGGGAGCAGACCCAAGAGTGCTTGCCAGCGTCCGACCTGGACATGGGCCTTGGTCATTTTGTCAGGGACGGAAGGGATGGGGAACGGAAATGGGACCTTACCACAGTTGCAGACTAGACAGTTCGGGCTTTGGTTGCCCGTGTTTGCATCACTTTCCTTTACAGAACTAACGTTCTGGAGGTGAGCACACTGTGACTGTATGAAGTCTGCATATCGGCATCAGAGGGGTTGGGGGCTCCCACTTTCTTTCCTGTGACATCTCTCCTCTTCTGTTGCCGCCCCAGAGTAGCCTGCCCCTTCCCCTGCTGGCTCTCCCCCCACCTCCCTCCCGAGTCACTGCTCCAGCCCCGAGACTCCTGGCGTCCTGTGATTCAGCCCAGGCTGCAGATACAGTAGCCCCGGAGGTGGGTCCTCGGCAGCCCACAGAGATGCCATGGTGCGAGGCCAACCCGTGACCTTGCCCTAACAGTGTCTATGGCCTGCCTCTGCTTAGACACCCACTCCTCCCCCTGCGTCCCACCCGGTGACCAGGAGGGTGCCGTGCCACCTGCTCTTCTTCTTCAGCAGTTCTTGCCCCTTCTCCTTTCCCGTCCACCCTCCATTCCAGCCAAGGTTAGTTAAATCAGTACCACCGTCAAGACTTCCTTTCCTGGCCCCAGTTTGTTTTCATGATCCTTTATCAGAAGACAGATTAGCTGAAAAATGTCATTTGACCCAGTTTAGACCCCACTAGATAACCTCTGCGGTTCCGGCTTTGACCCCGGCATGTCAGGAGTCAGCGAGAGACTCCTGCAGGTGCAGAGAGGCCCAGCTCACCCTCCTTGCTGTGTCCACGGGGACCAGGCGTGTGAACACCCAAAGCCAGTTCTTCATCGGGGTGGGTCATTGAGGGAGATGTTAACTGGCAAGACAATCTGATGAACGAAAGGATTTTTCCCAAAAGCACATGCCCATGCCCTGAAGGCAGTAATGACAGAGCTGTGATATAATCTTTCTTCAATTAACACTTCTTCTCCCCAGCAAAGTCTTTACTCTCCATCTTTGCTATCCTCATCCTGCCACTCAAAAAACACATTCTCTACCCAGATTCCAGTGGTAACAGCCTTTTTTCTTTTCAAGAAAAGCCAAACCACAAAAGAAGCAACCCAAAGTTATGATCCAAACCGTGGAAACCATATAAAGTGACAGTGGCTCAGAAAGTATTTAAAAAGGCCACGCCCGTCCTGGTGCCCTGGAGGAATGAGACTGATCTTTTCACAGAAGTGCATAGTCATCCTCGTGTGTAACATACTTGATGCTTTTCTTAGAAAGAGAAAACAGCTACCCTACGTCTGATGTCTCAGGGGGCTTTATGAGCATCATAAACCCCATCTCCCCCATCGGCTAGGGAGCGGCTTCCCCTCCGCTATGCCTCCCTGTGTGGTGAATGGCGATACTTAAAATGTGTCCATGTGAAACATTCCTTGACAAATTGGTTTTCAGACGGAGAAATCTGCTCCTCTTAGGCTATATTACGACAAAGTCTAGAAGCACATTCATTTTTTATGATTTTGTTGTTCTTCTTTGGGATTAACCGCAGATCCTAACAAATTTGGAGCAAGGCTTAGCTGAAGACGGAGGCACGAGCAGCACCTCACAGGAGAACAGACGAGGTCAGTGGCCAGACTTTTCATTAAAAAATCATCGAGAGTTGTCAGACGATTCGGCCCCAAAGCTTTTCTTGTGTCTCATCCTTTGCAGTGGTCCTTGCATGCATTCATTTGCTCGTTCCCGTTTTGGGAAGCCAAGCACCAGGCCTGGCACTGTTGATACATGAAGAGCAAATGTAGGTGTGAGGGCTGCCCACAGGCAGCCCCGTTGGGTGCAGAGGACCTGCCTACACCCAGTAATCCAGAAACCAGTGTGGCTTCCACACTAGGCAGGTGCTGGGACAGAGAGGAGCCCAGGCCTTCCTGGGAGGGGCGTCCTTGGGGGGGGGGGGTTGCCCACCAGAACTACAGACTTGGCAGGGGGAGCGTGAGGCCCTACAGTCCTGCAGAGGAGAGGAAGAGGGCCCTGTACACAGCCGACGAGGCCAGGCTGACAAATTCAGTCTTGACGCTGAGCACTGGGCTGCTGGGAGCTGATTACATTTTGAGATCATGCTGGCCATGGGGCGCCTGGGTGGCTCAGTCGTTAAGCGTCTGCCTTCGGCTCAGGTCATGATCCCAGGGTCCTGGGATCGGGCCCCACATCGGGCTCCCTGCTCGGCAGGAAGCCTGCTTCTCCCTCTCCCACTCCCCCTGCTTGTGTTCCCTCTCTAGCTGTTTCTCTCTCTGTCAAATAAATAAATAAAACCTTAAAAAAAAACAAAGAGATCATGCTGGCCACAACTTCTTGAGAACATTAGGGATGAACTTCTAATTATGCTTCAAAACCCAACTCAAATGGCACCTCCCTGAGAAGCCCCTCACCTACCACTCCTTCCTCAGGGCCTGTCCTTCCCTTTCCCCAGAGCGTCGGTCCCACTCTGTCTCACCTCCAGGGGCAGTTTCCACCTCTCTGTGCCTGACTTGGAGCGGACTCTGCAGACCACTGGCCAGCATGCATTCCTCTGGCAAGCGGGGGGCCTCCTCTGAAGCTGCTCGGGGAAGAACGATGGGCCGAAAGCAGGCGAAAGTGTTCCCCTGGGGAGGGGAACACTGCAGGTGGAGAGCCGTGCTGGTGCCCCCGGGGGTGTGGTGGGCCTGGCCGCACTCAGGAGCATGAGAAGGGAGAACAGCGTGGGCAGGAGATGTTTGCCTTTGGGGCCAACAGCCCTGGGCTACATTTATGCTTTAAATATAGCATCCTTTGAGAAATCCCAAAGGACAGCCAGGTGTGTAGGGGAGAGTGTGTGTGTGTACGCACACATCCTTCCCAGCCGTGTGTACGTGTGTATGTGCGCACACACGTCCTCAGCAGTGTGTGTGGACGTGTGTGTGTGGACGTGCGCGCGCGCATCCTTCCCAGCAGTGCAGCTGCAGGCCGGTTAGCAAGGAGAGAGGTTGCTCACCCTCCAACATCTCGTTCTCTGGTATTGTCTGCACGTGGTCACTTTTCCCCACTGAGGGCCTGTTTTAGGGGAATTAACAGGTGGTTACTAGATCTCAGAAAGCGGTTCGGAGAGACCTCAGGGTCATAACAGATAAACAGATTTTCAAGTGAATGGGGAAGAATTTTAGCGCTTGAAAGAAGTCTGTGGAGATAAATTGCGGTTCACTGAGACAGCCCATATTTTATGTTCATTAACAAAAGATACTGTTCAGAATTTTTCTTTTCACAAAGATGATGTTGTAAGCAGCTAATGTATTTTTTTTTCAAAGATTTATTTATTTATTTGAGAGAGCGAGAATGAGAGAGAGAGAGAGAGTACATGAGTGGGGGAGGGTCAGAGGGAGAAGCAGGCTCCTCGCCGAGCAGGGAGCCCGATGCGGGACTCGATCCCGGGACTCCAGGATCATGACCTGAGCCGAAGACAGTCGCTCAACCAACTGAGCCACCCAGGCGCCCGCAGCTAATGTATTTTTAATTGCTGAAAGGCGAAGTGAGTTAAGTTCTTAATTCTGGCAATTAAGTTTATTGTGTTCTGAAGTAGTCCAAGAATAAGCATAATTTCTAGGCAGTTGTTACCCCACAATTGGCCATCGGTCCTGGCAGCAGTGGGACGGTCAGATTCGGGGTGAGGTAGGCTCACTGGAGTATGGTTGTTCACGTACGCCCCCAGCCCTCAGCTGAACCATCTGACCCGGCCAATGTGCCCCCGCCACCTGCCTCCCCACCCCTGCCCTCCTCCCCCTCCCCCTCCTCCCCGTCCTGGTCCTACTGTGCTCCCCTGTCCTCCCCACTCCCACCATGCTCCCCTGTCCCCCCCCATTCTCGCCTTCCTCCTGGGCCATGTGTGTGACCACACGCCACCACTGGGCAGACACCCCGTGGGGAGCTGGCTTTGGTTCTGCATCATTGCCCATCTCCTCCCCCCCATGTGAGGGTGCTCCTGGCCTTTTAGGCAGCAGTTCTGTGCCCTTCTCACACTGATGCTCAGAGTCTGGAAGGCAGGGTGGTAGTTACAGTTTCCATCTGAGAGGTTCTGCAGTGGGGCCTGGAGAAGGCCGATCCCAGGACACAGAGCTCGATGTGCAGACACCCTGCTGGGCCAGCCATCTGCCAGCCCCACAGCCAGGGGCTTGTGGCTGGACTGCACCCCCAGGCAGGTGGGTGGCGCCTCCCACAGGTCAGCTGGAAAGGGGTCCAGTGTCTGGACAGTGAGCCAACCACAGGCAGACCCATGTGTTCATTCTCTGTGAGCATGGCCCTGGCTGGCCTGATGCCCTGCGCTCAGCAGCCCCGGTGACAAGACCGTGGCCGAGGGCTGGGGCGTGGCCCCGACACGCACACGCTCACCGCTGCCCTTCTCTTGCAGCCTCCATTCAGCTGTGGCGGTCCCGACTAGGCCGGGTGATGTGCTCCATGGCAAACTGCCTGCTCCTGATGAAGGTACGTCCGTTCTGGAGGGGGGTGTCAGCAGAAGCTGCGCGGGGTGGCTGGGACCCTGATGAGGAGGTGCCCCGCGGTGAGCAGGAGGCTTAGCCCAAGGTGGGGCGCGGGGAGAGCTGCGGCGGGAATCGCTTAGCCCCAGGCCCCTTCAGGTCAGCCCAAGGTCATTCCTGAGCTTGATCTTCAGCACAGCAGAGCAGGCGGTTTGTCATGGGGGGTGAGTCCCATGACTGGCCCCGGGGCGACAGCCATGTTACACATCCGCCCCTCGCAGCCCCGTGTGTGAGGCTCGTGCCCTGGGCGTGGAGCGGAGGGCTTGGCCTCGGGCGTGCATTCCCAGCACAGCCCTGGCCCACTCGGTCAGGGAGGGGACGGGTGCTCTGAACCCGCTTTAGAGCAGCCTGCCCTGGGGGCGCAGGTGGCCCCTGTAGGGGTGGGACACGAGGGCGCAGACGGTGACCCTGCAGCGTCCTTCATGTCCCGGGCCCCAGGCGCCGGCTCTGAAGGGGCTCAGAGCTGTCTTTGAAGCCCCTCCGGCTCTGCCGTTCACGCAGCACCCCCCCGCACACGGGACGAAGGACGGTGTGGGGTGAAGGAGCTCAGGGCGTTCTCCCTGCTGTGTGCGCGGCCGGTGTTTCTGAGCAGGTGGCTGCCCGAGTGGTGCCATCCCTCGTGGTCTTGCCCCCGGTGTGTGTGTGGGGGCAGGAGGGAGTGTGTTCCCTCAGTGAGCAGGTCCCTCCCTGGAGCCGGGCCCTGTCCCCTCCGCCCCACGCTCCAGCCTCCCGCCCGGGGGCCACTGCCACTACATGGGAAGCCCACGGCTTGGACAAAGACAGAGCAGATCGTTCGTCCACAGGACTGATGTTTCATGAATCATGGGGCTAAGACTGCCCAGGAGGGAAGTTACCTGTTCCACGGGTAGATTTTTATTTGAAGATTACGGGAGAAAAGTGCTCTTACTGGTTTTTCCATGGTGGTAACAGTACCGTCAAGCAGCCACGTAAGTTTTCTGCCTGCGTCGTCGGGACCCAAGACAGAGCCTGTTCCTGTTTCAAAAGTACTTCATGGTGAATGCAGGTTAATTGGAATTTTCCACTAATCTTCCATTTTCATGAGTTAAAAAGGGAACATTGTGCGGTGGAAGCCTGAGCGAGCACGTGCGTGCGCGTTCTCTGGCCACGTGGGGCACGTGCACGGCCCTCGTGTGCCGCTCGTGTCCAACCGCGAGTTATATCATCAGCCACTCAGTTCTTGTCGGTCACGTGTCTGTTACGGTGAAATAAATATTAACTTTTTTATGACAAGAAATCCACTCTTACGTTTCAGCCCCAAATACCAGCAGGACGTGCCGTTGGGCCCGGGGACGGGTGTGCCGTGGCCGGGGACATTTGCGCAGTCCCACGTTTTAAATGCCACTCCCTTTCCTTAGACCCGTGGTAGTGTGGGGGCACCACGCCGGCTGACCAGCACCTACTGCTTCACTGTGCCGCAGGGACCCCCTCTCCCGGCCCCACGTAGGCATCAGCTGAGGGACCACGCAGCCACGTAAACCAGCCTCTTCCACTTCAGTCATCCACACAAACCCTCTCGGCCCGCAAACAGTTGTAAATCCAGTTTCGCGGCCACCAAACCAGCGTAGCTGCTAAAGGGAGAAGGGTGAGCACTGAGCTAGAATAGGCCTGTCCTGTAAGCAGCTCACAAGTGGCCTTTCCCAGAGCCAGTCTGTGTGGTCTGCAGTGGGGTAAACTCTCAAAAGAGCTCATCTGAGGGGCGCCTGGGTGGCTCAGACGGTTAAGCGTCTGCCTCCAGCTCAGGTCATGATCCCAGGGTCCTGGGATCAAGTCCCGTGTCCAGCTCCCTGCTCCACGGGGAGCCTGCTTCTCCCTCTCTCCCCTACTCGTGCTCTCTCTCACTATCTCGCTCTCAAATAAATAAATAAAAATTTAAAAATGTAAAAAAAAGATCGTTTGAGCCATTTTCCCTTTAAGAGACTGTATTCCCTCCACTTCCAGCAAATAAACCATGTCAAGCCATGATAATCAATTTCAGGAAGCTCTGTGGCACACTTCCGCTCTGCTTCATTTGCAAGTAGTCTCCGCGAAACATTCCGGAGCCCGTCCCCGAGGCCACAGGCGCTCCCGGGCCATCTCCCATCCAGGCCCTGCAGGAGTAGGCCCCGCGAGCGCAGCTGGCCTGGTGGCGGTCCCTCCGCCTCCGTGGTCTGACCTCCTACTGGGAAGCCAGCTTTCCCACGTGCGTTCCACGCCGGTGGATCTGCCCTGGTTTATTCTCCCAGGAGCGTCGTGTTTGCACAGATCCACGGCAGAATAACTCCATCAGGGATCATTGCTTGGTTTCTGAAAGCTGTCCTTTCATGTCAAATCATCTTCGGAAAACTGACTCCTGGCCTCAGGTGCTGCAACAGAGCTGTGAGGCAGTGACATTGGCTTCCGTGGGCTTGCACTTCCGTGGAAGTGGGCATGTCCCCGCCCTCCACATCCTGGCTCTGGCTGTCCACGGTGCCAGCTGGAGTGACACAGGAGCCAAGATTTGGGGCACAGGTGTCAGTGACACTCGAGCACTAACGGGAACTTCAGACCTGCCTTTTGTTCATTCGAAAGCAGCAGTGACGGGCAGGTGTTAAATTACAGCAGGTGACTTCCCCCCCTGGAGCTCGTGGGGGTACCCCGTGCACACTCAGCTGGGGCCTCAGCCACCTTAGGGCCCTGCCCCAGCCACCGAGCAGTGGGAGGCACTGCCTCCCCCACAAGAGGTGCCTCTCAGCATACACTTGCTCATACGAGCTCACGCTTGTGCACACACTCATTACCCGCTTGCTTTCTCACACTTGCATGCGCACACTTGCTCACGCTTATGCACACACTCGTTACCCGCTTGCTTTCTCACACTTGTGCTTCCCTGCACTCACACTTGCGCCTGTGCCCACACGTCTCCCACGCTGACACACTCGTGCGTGTTCACACACATATGCGTGCACACACAACCCTCAAACAGCACAGCCCTGCCGTGGGCGGCAGTGACAGCGTGAAGCCATGGGGAGGGACAGGCATGTGCTGTCAGGTTCCTTGTGAGCACTGCATCTTGAATAAAATTTGTCTTAATGAGCTTCCCTGGAAGATGCCAGACTGGAGAGAGTTTTTTCATTCTTTTCCTGCGAAACTGGAATTTTACTTGTCACCTGTCTTTCTGTAGACCATTCCAATTAGCACACTAGTAACTCCAGCCCCAGTTTAGATCAGACTGAAAAAGTGGAGAATAAAGTGCTTGTGGGGGTGACCAAGTGCGTCTGCTGCCATCTGTCTTGTGGCCATGTGCTGTGACGCGGGGAAAACACGCTACCCACCACCGAGCCTGCCCAGTGAACGTCACAGTGATCACTGCTATTCCAGAGAGCCGGGGTTTGTGGGGGGCCTGATACAAGCCAAGGGCCGTGTCCCCGGCAACTCCGCCCGGTGACTTGGTCGCACGTGAGAGAGGTGACAGGTTCCACCTCTTACTTGTGGACGGACAGGGTTTACATGACTCAGCATTGGCTGCGTGCGTCCCACGGGCTGGCACTGGGGGGGCAGCAGGGGAGTGCAGAGATGGCCGGGCCGCTCCCAAGGGGCGGCGGGTGCGCCGACGACCCAGAGAGGCTGGTGAAGGCCTCTGATGTGGCTGCATCTTGTGCCTGCTCTCAGCTACAGTGTTTGGTGCAGTGTCTTGTGTGTTTGCATTTAAGGACTTTCCCTCACTTTCTAACATAGAAAACATGTAAGAGATGCTGTTAATAAATTTGGTTTATGGAATTGGCAGATAGTGACAAGACAAAGTTCACCAATTCACTTAATGATTTTACAGGAAAGAGAGAGAGACAGTGCAGGTGAATTCCCACTGCCATGTAGATGGAAGCAGGAAGAGGGAGAGGAAGGTGTTTCCTGACTCTGGTTTCGAACAAAACTCGGAACCCTGGTGTGTCCTGTTGTCACGCCAGCCTGCACGCCCCTCGTGGGCCCGGCTTCCAGCGCTGGGTTTCCTGCTTCCGCCCAGCTCACGCATTCACGTGCCCTCTCTCCACATGCAGATCTGCAGGTACTTGAGCTGCTAACTTCGCAAACCCAAGAGCTATCTTTTTAACTCTAAAATGTTCTTCCGGTTGTTCTTCCCATAGGACTACGTGCTGGCTGTGGATGCTTATCACTCGGTTATCCAGTATTACCCAGAGCAGGAGCCACAGCTGCTGAGTGGCATCGGCCGGATTTTCCTTCAGGTACATGCCACACCAGGCATGTGAGCTATGGCGGGCGGTCCCTGCCTGGGTGGCCTGGGACTCAGCATTCATTCTGTAGATAAGAAATAGCACAGAGCAGCGCCTGGGGGGCTTAGTCGGTGAAGCGTGCCTTCGGCTCAGGTCATGATCCCAGGGTCCTGGGATTGAGCCCCACACCCGGCTCCCTGCTCAGCAGGGAGCCTGCTTCTCCCTCTGCCCCTCCCCCTGCTAGTGCTCTCTCTCTCTCGAATAAAATCTAAAAAAAAAAAAAAGCTCAAAAAATGTTTCGCATCAAATGTTAAAGGTTTAGTTCTTTATAGTAGTTCTGGTTTGACTGTATTAAGTCCCACTGGCTTTGACGGGATCAGGAAGCCAAATTGCTAAATGTGAGTTTCCATAGACTTTCATTGGTGAAGCATTGAAACAGATCACTTTAGAAATCATCCTGTTACACTGAGAAGAGCGTTGATAAAGCCATACGGAATCTTATTTGAAGTTGGCTGATAATAGAGTCCCTTGCTGCTGTTTTGCTGGAAAGAGCGCACAAAGTCCACCATGAAGCAGCCCCAACAGGGCAGAGGGTGAGGGACAACACCCTCTTGCCAAGAACAGTGCCGAAGCCAGGAGCATCTTCCTGGACCGTTTGGCGATGGAGGGATGTGCGCCCCTCCTCACTTCTGTCTCTCCCAGGATGGCCATCCCACCTTTGCAGGCGAGCCTAAGGGCCTCTGCCCCCGGCCCACCCTCCATCTGTAGGGCTTCTGCCATAACGCCCCGAGCTGGGGCTGGGGAAAGGAGTATGAGCAAATGATGGTCCCTGATAGTCAGAGAAGGGCCAGACGTCTCTGGAGCACCACTCACCCTGAGCGGGCACCGTGCGGAGCCGCTCCACCGTGGGGATTACCAGTCATTTTACAGATTAGCAAACGGAAGCTTCCCTGTGGTTGAGTGAGCTGCCCGAGGCCCGAGACATAAGCGTACCAGGAAGAGTCTGAACAAGGGCTCTCTGAGCCCAGAGCTCAGGTTCTCTTCACTGAAGGGTGGCCCTGTCCTCCTACACCCCCAGTCGTCCACACACACACACACACACACACACACACACACACTCTCATCTCCTTCTCCTCCCGCCAGCCCCAGCCCATACTGTTCATGGAAAGCAGATGAGACCTGCACTGGGTCCAAGGACAGCCTGACGATGAAGGCCAGCTGTGGTCTCTGAGTCCCTCCTGGGGCGCTCAGGGGCCTCTGTTGTGGGGCTCTCAAGGGCGGCCTTCCCTGACTGACAGCGTGGATGTTGAGGAGGCTGGAAGACTGGGTTTCTGTCTGTTCTCGTGCTCTGCTAGCACGTAAGCCGTATCTTCTCCATGTGCCAGGGACGCTCATGATCATCCTGTGAGGTCATTGTGCAGACTGAGCACGACAAGCCACATAGAGAACACAGTGCTGTGCTTGGAATCCAGTAGGACAAACCCAGAAACGTCATTTCTGAGTCTCAGTTTACACAGCTGGAGGAATATATGCTGGACGCCCATTTAAGAACCCTGACGCATGAAGCAGCCTCAGGCGGGAGCCGTGGATCCAACAGTCCTGAGGTCTGCGTCAGGCTGGGACTCTGAGCATTTCCCTGGACATGTTTCTGGCCTCAGGTCATTGAGAGAAACGTCTGGACACAGAATCTTGGAGAGAAAGGCACTGGCTTCCAGAGCTTTGTTTGACATCCCACCTGGTTTGGGGGCGGTGGCAAACACCACGAGGGAAGCTCGTGGTGTTCTTTGTTCTCGGGGCTGAAGGAGGTGACACCTGGTTCTGAACGGAGACGGGGAAACGGGGGACGAAGGACACCGAATCCCAGGCAAGTGACCAGGAGACCTAAGCACTCGGGAACTCTTTCTCAAACACCTCTCCTTGACACTTGGACTGTTGCCCGACCACAAACTGTCTGAATTCTGTGTTTCTGCAAAGGAAATCAAAACTGTGGTACTTCCCTTTACGACACACCTCCGCCAGAGCTTCTGGAAGGGAAGCGCAGGGAGTTGCCAGGCTGTCAGCAGCCAGGGCTGTCCCTGTCAGCTCCACTTCAGGATAGCCAGCAGGCTTCCTTGGGTGTTTAATGGGTGCTGGGTGTGGCTTGGTTTGGTTGGGCAGAATAAACTAGAGTTCCGTATCGGGTCCCAGTATGACTTTGAAATTTGTGAATGTGATGGTCCCTGTCATTTTACCAGTCACAACCCCAACAAGTGACTTGGGGCCTGGCTTATTGTACTGAAACATACTGTGTGTGTGCGTGTGTGTGTGTGTGTGTGTTTTAAGCTTTATTTATGTAAGAATTTTTACTTATTTATTGAGTTTTTTAATTCCAGTGTAGTTGACATACAGTGTTATGTTAGTCTCAGGTGTACAACGTAGTGATTCAGCACCTCCATACATCACCCGCTGCGCATCACAACAGGTGCGCTCCTTAGTCCCTGTCACCTGTTTCCCCATCTCCCCCCATCCCTGTGTTCCCTGTAGTTAACAGTCTCGGTTTGTCTCTCTCTCTTTTTTCCCCCTTTGCTCCTTTATTTTGTTTCTTAAATTCCAAATATGAGTGAAATTATATAGTACGTACCTTTCTGACTGACTTCTTTCACTTAGCATTATACTATCTAGCTCTATCCATGTCGTTGCAAATGGCAAGATTTCATTCTTTTTTATGGTTGAATAATACTCCATTGTCTACATATATATATATACACACACACCACATCTTTAACCATTCATCAGTCGATGGGCACGATTGTAAATAGTGCTGCTATATATAAACATATAAGGGTGTGTGTTTCCCTTTGAATTAGTGTTTTCATTTTCTTTGGGTAAATACCTAGTAGTGGAATTAATGGGTCATATGGTGTTTCTATGTTTAACTTTTTGAGGACCCTCTATACTGTTTCCCACAGTGGCTGCACCAGTTTGCATTCCCACCAACAGCTCATGAGGGATCCCCTTCCTCCACATCCTGTTGTTTCTTCTGTTGTTGATTTTAGCCATTCTGACAGGTGTGAGGTGATAGCTCATGGTGGTTTTGATTTGTATTTCCCTGATGGTGAGTGATGTTGAGCATCTTTCCATGTGTCTTTTTGGTCATCGGCGTGTCTTTGGAGAAATGTCTGCTCATGCCTTCTGCCCATTTTTTAATTGGATTATTTGGTTTTTGGGTGTTGCATTCTGTAAGTTCTTTATATATTTTGGATACTAACCCTTTATCAGATATGTCATTTGCAAATATCTTCTCCCATTCAGTAGGTTTTCAGTTTTGATTGTTTCCTTCTCTGTGCAGAAACTTTTTATTTTGATGTAGTCCCAGTGGTTTATTTTTGCTTTTGCTTCCCTTGCCTCAGGAGACATTTCTAGAAGAATGTTGCTATGGCTGATGTCACAGAGGTTATAGTCTGTGCTCTCTTCTAGTATTTTTATGGTTTCAGGACTCACATTTAGGTCTTTAAATCATTTTATAGTTTATTTTTGTGTATGGTGTCAGAAAGTGGTCCAGTTTCATTCTTTTGCATGTAGCTGTCCAGTTTTCCCAACACCATTTTTTGAAGAGACTGTCTTTTCCCCATTGTATATTCTTGCTTCCTTTGTTGAAGATTAATTGACCATATAATTGTGGGTTTATTTCTGGGTTTTCTGTTTGTTCCGTTGATCTATGTGTCTATTTTTGTGCCAGTACCATACTGTTTTGATTACTACAGCTTTGTAATAGAGCTGGAAGTCCAAAATTGTGATGCCTCCAGCTTTGCTTCTTTTTCAAGATTGCTTTGGCTATTCGGGGTCTTCAGTGGTTCTCTACAAATTTTAGGATTGTTTGTTCAAACACTGGGGAAAATGCTATTGGTATTATGATAGGGATTGCATTAAATCTGTAGATTGCTCTAATATAGACATTTTAACAAATATGTTCTTCCAGTCCCTGTGCATTGAATGTCTTTCCACTTCTTTGTGTCTTCTTCAATTTCTTTCATCAGTGTTTTCTAGTTTTCGGAGTACAGATCTTCTACCTCTTTGGTTAGGTTTATTCCTAGATATTTTATTTTGGGTGCAATTGTAAATGAGATTGATTCCTTGATTTCTCTTTCTGCTGCTTCATTATCAGTGTATAGGAATGCGATAGATTTCTATACACTGATTTTATATCCTGTGACTTTACTGAATTTGTCAGTTCTAGTAGCTCTTTGGTGGTCTGTGGGTTTTCTGTATATAGTGTCATGTCTTCTGCAAATAGTGAAAGTTTGGTTTCTTCCCTACCAATTTCAATGCCTCTTATTTCTTTTTCTTGTCTGATTGCTGAGGCAAGGACTTCCAGTATTATGTTGAATAAAAGTGCTGAGTGGACATCCCTGTCTTGTTCCTGACCTTAGGGGAAAAGCTCTGTTTTTCCCCATTGAGGATGATGTTATCTGTGTTTTTTTCATACATGCCCTTTATTATGTTGAGGGATGTTCCCTCTAAATCTACATTGTTGAGGGTTTCTATTATGAATGGATGTTGTACTTTGTCAAATACTTTTTCTGCCATCTATTGAAATGATCACATGGTTTTTATCCTTTCTCTTATTGATGTGATGTATCACATTGATTGATTTGCAAATAGTGAACCACCCTTACATTCCAGGGATAAATCCCATTTGATTGTGGTAAATTATTTTAATGTATTGTTGGATTGGGCTTGCTAATATTTTATTGAGGATTTTTACATCTATGTTCATCAGGGATATTGGTCTATAGTTCTCTTTTTCTGTGGTGTCTTTATCTGGTTTTGGTATCAGGGTAATGCTGGCCTCATAGAATGAATTTGGAAGTTTTCCTTCCTTTTCTGTTCTTTGGAATAGTTTGAAAAGAATAGGTATTATTAACTCT